GAAGAGGGGAGAAAAACATACTTTCCAATTTTGGGGTTGAAGAAAGGGGAAGGGTAACGGCAAGAGTTGACAGAATTGAATAGGCGTTTGAAAAAGCCCAAAAATCTTTTTAATTGTACAAATGGCCAAAAGGCAACACTTGGAATCTTTCCACTGTAGAAAGACTAAAATACTCCATCAAACATTACAAAAAAAAAGTTTAGTTAAATCAATTAAAATTTACCAAAGATATTTTAGTGTATATCAAATCCATTACACATTTTAAATGATGATCAAAATCAGTTAAGTTCATCCAATACTGCAAAATCTAAAAATCTAAAAAGACATTCTTCCCTATAAAAATATCCTTGAATCCATCCATATGTGAAAAGAAATATATACACTTATTGAATTTCTCCAATAAAATCTTGCCCAACTTTATCAAAACATATTAAGTGACTTGTTATATTCTAAAATCTCCTCGCATTAAGATTAAGTTACAAATATCTGGTAAAAACACTATTTATCGGACTCAAAAATACCTTTTACTAAATCCAATAAAAAATTAAGCCATACAATTATCTTATCCTCGAAAACAACTAAAATCATCATCGAAATAAGATTCAAAGTTGTATTTTAAGTAGGGATGTGGAAGAGTTTTGAATGATATTTCATACCTAACTTGATCACTGGCCTTAAAAGATGTAATTAACAAACTAGAGCTACTATCGTTATTAAATTTTCATTTTCGAGGTTAAAATCAATTTCTTCCAATAAATTGACTGAAAAATAGAGATAATAATCAACAATTACGTATTGGTTGAATTTTCTTTAAACCAATATCACTCTATCCCCATCCTCCTCCTCAGATTTTTAGATCAACGGTAAAAAAAAAGAAACCAAATTAAAAAAGAAGGAATATAACTTTAGGAGTTGAAAATAGTGTTAGCTAAGAATAATTTTGAACAAAGGAATGGTTACAGATTCTTCAACAATTTTTCTGTGGCCATTGATTGGATTACCAAATGAGGAACTAGAAAGAAGTGGAACTAAGGAATCTAACAACATGTGAATGGTTCAAGACTTTAAGATGAAAGGGTTTAACCAAGTGGAATTGTATTGGTAGGGGTAAAACGGGAAAAGTCCGAAGCACACCGAAGTCCCGTGTGGCTATATTTCATCGATTGTTTTAGTTTTTAATCGATATTCTGATATATCATGTTTTCTTTAGATACTAGTTCATTGTTTCTATCCCAGTTTAAAAGAAAAAACGTCCTATAAAACATTTGATACTCATATCTATATAGATCGATGTGTATGTATGATTAATTGTACCAAGGATTAGAGTGATAATTTGGTAATAAAAAAAAGATAGTGAGGGCAGAATAGGTAGCGAAATGGGTAGAAGGATTCCATTCATTAATGGGAGACACTTTAATTTTGGTTCAATTGGTAACCAGGGATGTGACCTAAAGAATATGTCTGTTGGATTGTTGGGGCCCTCATGAAGTCAAAATCCTTTCCTTTGAGCATAGTATATTGCCTTTGCCTCTCCTATCTGCCACTCAAACTCCACCTTTGAATTTTGGCAAATATATAAACTATGCCTCAAGATAGCAACCATCCCATTTATCTCATACATTGCTTGTAATTTCTTAATCAAAATTTATTTACCTCATTATCTTTAAAAAAACCCCTCAATTTTTTTTTGTTCATTTTAATTATCATATTGTGATCTAGATTAAATATGATGGTATATTGTTTGAAATGATTTTTAAAAAAATGTTTTTTTATAGTCATTTTTTTAAATAAATTAGTAGTTTAAATTGGGTTTCAATGTTGATGTTATAGAAATCTATTTTTTAAGATCAATATTTAATCTAAAACGTATTTCAAGCAAACTTTGAGTCGAATTCTATTCTAATTTCTAAAAAAATATTACTTTTCAAAAGAAATTAACAATTTAAAATTTGTAATGGGTTCTGTTTCTTCTTTTGTTTTGAAATTCCCTCCTTTTTTGAAAGAGGAATGTGGTGGTAGCCTTTATGAGATGGAAGGTGTTTGGGTAAAGTATTAATTATGTTATTTGTAAGTATGTTCATTAGTGGTGGGTATGTTTTCTCATGTTTTTAAGGGAATGAATTCCATGGCCTACAATCATAGGGGACAACTACACGGATATGGTTTTTTAGTTACTTGGTCTTTTGAAAAAGGTTAGGAAAAAAAAAATGATGGGTATCATATCTTTTAAGAGAATGTCTATAATTTATTTTCGAATCTCTAGCACTTTATAAAAAAGTCGAAAATGGAATTTTGAAGGAAGAAAAGAGATACAAAGATGTCGATATTTCGAATTTAGGTATATGACATTTTACGATAGTACATAGAGAATAGAAAAAGTCGAGAATTAAGTACAGAAAGTAAAGATTAGATTTGCTTTCGAATTGAAACTCTGTACGATCTTTGAGTGAGATGAGTTAAAATTTTAGACGATCTTTCGGTGAGATAGCTGGATGTGACTACAAGTGGAAATATTCAATCTTACCTTATTTATTTTTATTTTTATTTTTTATTTTTATTTTTTTAAAATGTAAATAAATAGTTTTTTTTCTCTGATATTTTCAATTTTTTCCCTAATCAAATATAATTATTAAATATGAGAGAAAATATAAATGACTTCCTTTTTGAAATATAATTTTATTTTCTGAAAATTATAATTCTTGATATGTTGGTAGTAATAAGAATTCTATTAAAATATAAAAAATATTCATTTTTTCTCGAATTTGTATTAGATTTTTTTGGGTAAATTTGAAAAATAATCCACTTCCATTTTCCCTTCAAACTTGAGAATTATAATGTAATAATGAATAATGGTTTGAATCATTCCATCTTATACATTCAAAACATTTTCTTTTGACTTCCAAGTTTTTTTTTTTTTTTCTTTTTTCTTTTTCTATAATATATATATATATAGCCATAGTTGACCAGTTCTAAGTAGCAAATATTTTTATGCATATAAACTAATAATTACATTTATTTAATTTGGTGGGCAAAATTTTGCGCATTAAAAATAATAAATCAAATAGTGTCTACTATAATCTAAATTTTTAGATTCCGTAATAGACGTTAATATCATCACTAAAAAAATCACAATTTCTTTTTTTGAAATCAATGATTGAGTACAAGTTTCTAAAAATTTATATTGCCAATAATACTTTTATTATTATAATTTGGATTAGTGAAAGAATGAAATTGAGAACATCTTTAGAGTTTATCTAAAAGTTAAGAAAAACACGTTAAATTGTCGTTAATAAAGCACTTTCGATATGAAAACGGGTCTAGAGATATAGGCGTGCTTCAACTCAAAATAATCTCCATAAGAAAATATTTGTATGCCATTGTTTAAAACAATATTTTTATTAAAAGAATGTAAAAAATAAATAAAGCTCTAAAACAATTCATCTATAAATTCTCAAATAATTTTAGTTTAAAGAGAAAAATGACACCATAAAATATGATCCTACTTGAGTATTCTTTCTATTTCAGTCATTGTCGTTTGAAAAGTTAATTTTTATCCAATTTGACAAACTAATAATAATAATAATAATAATAATAATTTCTAAAAATAGAAAATGTGCAAGATAAATATATTTTTTTAAATTTAAAGATTTATTAAAAAACATAAACTAAAAATATTATTTTAAGAATGTCAAAATGTATTTGGAAGATTTAGGTAGTGGTAGAGAAGACAAAATCGAGATTTTTAAAATATAGATATAATAATTATTTTTCTACAAACCTAAAATTACCCCTTTTTTTTGCAATATTATAATTTGACCCCTTTGGTTGATCAATATTACCCACTTGTTTTGATATTTTTCAAATCCACCCCTACTTTTATCCAAAATTTCACTCAAAAGACCAACACCCATCCCACCACATTAGTCTCCGTGGTCGGCAAAAGTATAGGAATTATTTTTAAAAATATTTATTTAGTATTTTCCCACTAAAATGAGCCACCACACATATGGCCAACTAAGTGAACGTTACGGGCCATTGTTTTTTTATTTTTATTATTATTTTTAAATAGTGGGTTTCTTTTTGGAAATTACTTTAAACAAAATAATAAACAAACTAGACCATAAATTTGTCCGCTTATGATTTTATTTGGTTGAATTGAATCAAATAAATAAAAAATTTATGAATGGGTTCATTTTTCGTAAAATGAGATTAGATTGAGTCCAATCAATTTAAATTTATTCTTCGTTTTAGAATAATTATAAATATTATTCAATATAATAATAAATTATAATATAAAATTATGGACGAAAATTATATATCATATATGCACAAATGCTTATTAAGTATATAGCCTAAAGAAAACAATTATTATTTATTTAAAACTATTTAGTAAAAATAAATTATACAATTATGTTTGAAACCCATTATTTAGCCCAACTCTTAACCCATGATCAATGGTGGGCTGGAGCCGTTGGATCTTATTTCATTAGTTTGGTTTCTGGAATTACATCTATGGATTACGACAAACGATTATAATATTTGTTTTTAATTTAATTTAAACTAAATTTTAGTAAGAGAATGTGTTATATTATATTTAATTTTTAAAGTAAATTAATTTATTAATTCAACCAATAAAAATGAGGTATATATTTTAACTTGTAAAGTTTTAAAAGTTTCAATAATACTTTTAAATTAAAAAAAAAAATCTAAAGAATATACTTAAATTAAAAAAATATATACTTTGAGTTTTTTTTTTTAATTTTTATTTTTTATGATTTAAAAGTTGAATTGATATTTATGAAAATAGTTTTTAAAATCGATGTTTGAAGAAAAAAATGCTTAATCATTTGTCAATAATAAATTCCAGGGAGTTGTTCGGTTTGCTATTCCAGTGGCGTTTAGTGAACTCTCATGTCCAAACAAGCCCCCCGCCTCAACAAAGCGGTTAAAACCACATAAACCGAATCCATAAATCGATCCAACTAAAAGAGAGAAAAAAAAATCATATTTAAATCTGAAAATGCCGAATTCGGCTGAACAAAAATGGCTATCGCCATATCCGCCGTCTCCCTTCCCTCACTCTTTCAGTACAAAAATTTAATTATCGCGCGAAAAAGCCGAATTCGTTCCTTCTCCATTCGATCTTGCAAGGATGTTTCCGGTGAAGGCGACGGCGGCGGCGAGCCTTTGCAGAAGCCGAAGAGGCTGTCGGAGAAATCTTCCTGGGAAGCCAAGGACTCCGAGGGCAAGGACTATCTCTATAGGCTTGGCAACGAGGCAGATAATATGAACATCGCCGTCGGAGCTAGAGCTGGCGTCATCGACGATCTCTTCGCCGGGAACTTCCTTGGCAGAGACTGTAAGTGTCCGATTTATCACTGTTATTTCCTTTTCATTTTGTGGTTATGGTTTCAGTTTTCTTAGTGTTTTCGTTTTCGTGTTGATTTTCTTTGTAGCGGACATTGTGTTTGATTACCGCCAGAAGGTCACTAGATCGTTCGAGCACCTTCAAGGAGACTATTACATTGCCCCTGTTTTCATGGTAATTTTACCGGTTCTACATCGTTCGGGATCAGTTTTCTTTAGCTATTGACTCTTCTTCTTTGTTCTTCACTACTGTTCTTATTGTTCAGTTGAATTGATATTTTCAGTTAGTGCAACGTCAACCAATCTCGTGCTCTTGATTTTGACATATTTGATTCCAGTACTTGGAATCAAACTGAGCCTGTTAACTCTAGTTAAATTCGAGTAGAACTTGGGACATTTCCACCTTGGTTAATCGTTGCATTTTTTTTTTTTTTGAATCATGAAGGAGATTATTACATTGCCTCTGTTTTCTTGGTAATTTTGTCGTTCTACTTCGTTCCACCTCAGTTTGTTTTAATTATCGATCCTTTTCTTTGTTCTTCATTATTTTCAGTTGAATTGATATTTCCTGTAAGTGTAATGTACACTGTTCTTGTGCTCCTTGATCTTGAAATATTTAATTCCTGTACTTGGAATCGCAATTTGCCTTATAACTTTAACATTACAACGAGGAAAGAAATGTGAATTTTACCACCACTGGTTCATGGTCTAGATGCACATGTCTGTAGCATTCAGCTTCTTACTTTTTTTTTCTCTTTTTTATGTTTCTGCAATCTTTTGTGTTATTATTTGAAAATGATCATCTCTCAATAACCTGTCTTTTTACATTGTTATCATCGGGTTTTTTTTTTTCTTTTGACAGGATAAAGTTGGTAAGTTCCTTGGATCTTGGTATTGACAAACGGCATGTGATGAATTACATTTGAAGAAGTAATAAACTTCATTAATATCTGTGTTGCACTCCACTTTATTTGTTGCATTCTTTTTAGATTCGAACAGTAATTCAGTTGCTATTAGATGTAAGATCATATTTAAATCTTAACAATTTAGTTATATAAAACCAATCAATGACTGCTTCACTCTCAGCAATTTATGTATATATTGTTTGTTCATTCTGTATTGTACTCGATATCCTTTTAAAAACTTATGGCTGTGTTTTGGTTCTTTAAGCTCTCTTCAAATATATTTATGTAGGCGAACTGCAGAAGAACAGTGAATAAATTGTCAGTAGTTGAAATACAGATCTTAATTTGTGATACTTTTTTTGTTGAGTTTTTAGAAAGGGAATTCTTTTAAGCACTTAACAATCAACTACAGCTTCTATGACAATTTAATTCACGACAAAATCAACAAACATCCTCATTGTTGGATAAGAAAGTCATTATTTCATATTAAATGCTCTAAATTGGTCATAAGATGGTCTGACCTCTTTCTGTCTTCTGACTAATGAGCCTTTCTGCTGATTGTAAGCTAATATTTTTGTTGTAATCTGACTCACTGGAAGAGAAATGCAGCATGAAGATGTGATGGTAGTGCTTTTCTCTTTAGGAATTTAAAACGGAGAAGTTTTGCGGGAAGACTCTACCTTCTTTCATGAAATGAGTACAAACAAGTAGCAGTTAAGTTAACACACGTTAACATGGTCTCTGTTGTTGTGCAGTATGCCACATTGTGAAGAACTTCATAGTTCACCTTCTCAATATCAAAGTTCCCCTTATCTTAGGTATGCATTCGTTTAATTTACTGGTTTCAATGCAAAATTCTTTTATAGTCAATTTAATAGAACACAATGTTAAAAACCTATTATTGAAAAGTTCATCAATTTATGTGTCAATGGGAGTCTATTCCATTGCTTTGAAATCTTCATCAGTTTTTCCTTTTGAGAATGGAATCAGTGTCTTATCAATCTTGACATGGTTAACTTCATGATAATGCTAGAAACTTTTCTTCTTTTTATTTTTGATTTGTAGGTTACGCTGGATAAATTTTATCTTGACCAGTTCCATATTTTTTCCATAAGAGATGAGTGGGCAGTTGGAAATATAAATGTTTTGTATTACAGGTATTTGGGGAGGAAAGGGTCAAGGAAAGTCATTTCAGACTGAACTTATATTCCAGGCCATGGGAGTGGAACCCGTGATAATGTCCGCTGGTGAATTAGAATCAGAAAGAGCTGGTAAGATAGGACCAAGATGACTTATTTGAATCTTTTAGTCCTTAACTTGATGGTGGATTAATGGGTCAAGTTGAATAGATTTCTCACCAAGTCTACGGCCACTTGAAAAGCTTGAATGAAAATTTTGAAAGGTGAAAGCATTTCATATTCTTTAATCAGGTTATGTAGATATTTTTTGTAAAGTAGCTATGTAATTATATGGATTAATATTCTCTCAGTTGTAGTCTCTCTATCTCTCTCTACTAAAACACGTATGAATTGGTCAACTCACGCAGTTATTTGGTGCATGAAAAAGTTTTTGCGTCAGTTCCTAGAGCAAAAAATCCGGTTCTATGCATGCACAAGTCTGTAGCTTTTGTATTTATGTTTGAGTGAAAATTGGAATGCCAATAGTGAACTTTCATCAACAGGTGAACCAGGAAAACTGATACGTGAACGCTATAGAACAGCTTCTCAAGTGGTCCAGAATCAAGTTAGAAACTTTACCACTTACAGTCTAGATATAAGTATGTCTTGGGTTAAATCATAAATGTTGCCAAGTGCAGTTCTACATGCTCAATGTTCCATATTTTTCTACTGAGTATCCCTTCTTATTCTAGTGCCGAAGTGTCACCCTTAGGGTCTGCTCTTTTATATATTTAGTGATTTGACTGCAACTGCTCTGCGAAAAACATTGTTTGTGTAGATAACATTAGAAGGAAGGTCGAGAAAGTAGCTTTTTGATGAGCCTTCTATTATTTTATGTCCTCATTAACAGGAAAACTTACAAAAAATATATATATTCTGGAAAGACATCCCCTGTTTCAATATGGCTGACAATATTAGAAGGTGGACTTTGGATAAGTTCGTTTTTATTTAACTAGCTATAAATATCAATTATTTTTTGCGTGACTTATTTTAAACTTTTCATATTGTTCATTTATTTATTGATTGAACTTTCTCATAGGTCATGCGACTCATACCATTTTGTTTTTCTGACATTAGTTATGTTATTCGATCTGGCAAATCCGAAGTGTTTATTCAGACCTGTATTTTGAATTGTCAAAAGTCACTAGTCACTTTGTGGTCTACTCTATCATCATGGTCTTACTCTTACATATTTGAAAGATCTTTTGGATTCTTTTAGAAGTTTATGTGCAAATGAATTGGCGTTCTTTACTTTGTATTTCTTACTTGTTCATATAATTTGTACTTTCTGTGAGTTTTTTTGTGAATATAATGTGATACAAGGTGCAACTGCAAAGTGCAAAATGATTCATAATTAGTTGAAGAACATATTATAGATGCTTAATAAATAAAAATCATAACATGAGAGACGCTTATTGTTTTCGTAGGCCATGCAGTGTATGCACTTACCACTTAGGTGCCCGTTGAACAACTCTGTGTTCAGTTGGTCATGTTTTCATTCAGGGCTGCCCAAAAGTTTATTTCAAACAGACTATCAGTTTTGAAATTGTATTCATTTTTTTTTTTTTTTTTTTTTTTTTTTTTTTTTTTTTTTTTTTTTTTTTTTTTTTTTTTTTTTTTTTTTTTTTTTTTTTT